CCACAACCTTGCCAGCATTTGTTGCTTGCTGTTCTGTTAAATTTTGCTATTCTGACTGGGGTGAGATGATATCTCATAGTTGTCTTGATTTGCATCTCTCTTAGAGCTAGGGATTTTGAGCATTTCTTCATGTGCTTGTTGGCCATCTGAATGTCTTCTTTGGTGAAGTGTCTGTTCATATCCTGTGCTCATTTTTCTATTGGATTATTCATGTTTATCTTGTTGTGGTGGACAGCAGATTTTAACAGTGGAACACATCTTTTGATTTCTTGACTGCTGCTAACCAAGGATGTGGTTGATTGTGGATCCAAGTGAAATGAAATAATTGACAACTTCAGTCTTTTCTCCATCTAACATGTATTGCCTGTTGGCTCAGTGGTGAGGCTTTTTGTTTTATCGGTGATGAGATGTAACCTGTACTGAAGGCTTTCTTCTTCTGCAGCAGACAGTTTGAATCCTCCTCACTTTCTGCAAAGTTGGGTGATCTCAATAATGCAGGTTGTTGATGAATCTTTCTCTAATCCTGATGCCACATTCTTCTTAATATATTCCAACTTCTTGAATGATTTGCTGAGCTTACAGATTGAATAGATATGGAGAAGGAATACCACCCCGATGCACAGCTTTCCTGATTTTAAACCCTGCAGTGTTTTGTTGTTCTGTTCAGACATCTGTTTTTTGGTTGATGTATACATTTCTTACGAGCACAGTTAAGGGTTCTGGGATCCCAGTCTTCTCAATGATATTCATAATTTATCATGATCCCTACAGTCAAATTTTTATAACTATCCCTAACTCTGATATTAGTTGGCAGAAATGCCCAAGTTAGAGCTGCTAAGGTTATGCATCATTAAAAATGATAGGTATTTTAAAAATGGTATGTATTTCAGGTTCCTGGGAAATCCTTATGGTCTCACTTTGTTGTTTTTTTTTTATTTTAGATTTTAATGAAAATTTATAAAGAACTTGGATTTCCATTCATTCATTGTTGCACATTTTCCTCCCTGCCCCCTCTCCCCACCCAGTTCGCTTTTTTCTTTGGAAAAAAAGTTTTTTCATTGTTATTCAGTCCCCCCTACCCAGACCACTTAACTATGTGGCTCTTATTCTGGCCTCTCATCATGCCAATAATACCTAGGCATATAATTCTTTTATACAGTTCTCTCCCTTGTCTCTTTCAATGCTGTGTACATTATTTATCCCCTCTTTTCTTAGTTTCTCCCCAACCCCCTTATCAGTCCTCTTCTATAACAGTGACATTTATGCAGTATTTGTGTTTTTTTTTGACTGAGATATTTCACTCAGTATAATATCCTCCATGGTCACCCATTTTGTATAATATTTTGTGATTTTCAGTGCTGCATAATATTCCATGGTGGGAATATACCACAGCTTCTCTATCCATTTGTTTGTTATTGGGCACTTGGGTTGTTTCCAACTCTTTGCTATTGTGAGCAAACAACAGTAAACATGGGTGTGCATATATCTATCTGCTTGGGTGACAGTTCTCGTTTCTTTAGGGTATATTCCCAGTCATGGAATTGCTGGGTCAATGCTATTTCTACTTCCAACTTTTTGAGAAAGCGCCATACTGCCTTCCATAGTGGTTGCACCATGTTACACTTCCACCAACAGTGAATAAGAGTTCCAGTTTCTCCACAACCTCGCCAGCATTTGCTGTTTACCTTAGAGGCAAGAGTGATGAAACTTGGTCTCACACACTGTGGGCCTGTTGTCAGGAGGGGCCAGGCCTTGGAAAAAGACACCATGCTGGGAGGGGGGAGGTCGGAGAGAGAGGAAGACCCTCATCACGATGGACTGACACAGTGACTGTAACAATGGGTCGAGCAGGTCGGAGACGGTGAGGATGGCGCAGGACAGGGTGAGAGTCAGATCGGGTGTTCACCACGTCACTGTGAGACGTAGTCGACTGGATGACACAGAACAACAGAAACAACCTGTATACCTGTTCTGCTTCCTGCTGTGAGGAACTCAAGAAATGGGATGCAGGATGGAGCCAGTGCACTCACCTGCTCTGTCCCGTCTCTTCCAGGCCTCGCTGGTCCTTCAAGTATCCTACACACCGCTCCCTGGAGCTGTGCCCGTGTTCCCTCCCACCACTCCTCTGGAGCCCTCCCCAACACTGCCGGACGTGGATATGGTAGCTGGTAAGAACAACCCCCCCATTGCCTGTCTGTGGGCTGGATCCTGGGGGTCCACAGTGAGCCCTCAGCTGGCCTTGCTGCCAACCCATTTTGGGGTCTGCACCAGACCCTGAGAGGACAAGGTGGCAGGAGAAATGCCCTCCAGGCAGTTGGCAGGAGCCATGCCTCCCTGAGGTGTCACAGGGACTAGAGCGTGGACGCTGCGCATCCACGCTGCCTGGGAAGGGACTGTGCTGGGCGGGGTCCCTGCGTGGTGCAGCTTCGAGGTGGGTGAGCACGTAAGGGACAGCCAGGCAGGGGAGGGCTCAGTCCCCACCCACCTCGCAGAGTCACTGGCACCCCTACTCTGTGCTGGTTGGTGCTGGGGCCAGTGCACAGCATGCTTTGGGGGACAGTGTGTGACAAGGCTCTGCTTGGGCTGTCCTGATCTGGTTAGGGGGACATGATGGACTCCACGCGTGCCCTTGACACCAGCAGCTGTGTGACTGTGGGCCTGCCCATCTTGCTGGGTCTATGTTTTATCAGCTGTGAAAGAGGAGACTGAAGGGGTTTCCTTAGCTTGCTTTCTTGCCCTCGTTGAGCTGGCCTGGGGCGAGGCGTGGGCTGCAGGGTTTGACTTGACTCAGGTGGACCTGGGCGGCCAGGTCGGCCAGCCCGTGGTGCAGGAGCAAAGCTGGGCAGAGGGATGTGACCAGCACACACAGCATGCGAGTGGCGTTTTCTCTACGTCTGTCTGTGGTGCTGGAGGCAGAGTAGGGGTCATTTTATTGGGGTTTAGCACAGGTCAACCTTGGAGATAAGGGAGGTCAGTCTGGACTGGGGTGGCCTCTGAAATCCTGACCTGGGCTGGAGCTGGAATAGTTTGAGTTGAGGGAGATGGGGTGTTGCTGGAGGCAGACAGTGGGGAGCGGTGGGATGGGCAGAGGGCCCTGACTCCTCTGAACAGATCTGACAGAGAATCGAAGAAGCTTCCAGGGGTGACCTTTCCCAACCCTGTTGAACAGTACTGTGGGACACCGTCCTGGTGGGCGCAGCAGCTTGAGCCAGGCTGGGGCAGGCAAGGGGCAGGGCTGGGGTCAAAGTTCAGTGAGCCGGCTGCTCCCACCCCAGCCTCCCTCTGTCCCCCCTGGGCTGTGCCATGCCCATATGCCAGGTGGGGGACAGAGCCGGGCCGAAACTTGGTCCCTGCTCAGTGACAGCACCGTGGACACGAGATACTCCGGGAAGAAGTGGCCAGTCCCCACGGGTGAGACAGTGGCAACGCCGACCCGGTCCTCCCACCGTAACTGGCTCACTCGCCGTCTGCGTCGGCTCACTCGTGGGAAGAGGCACCTGGGGGTCCCTGCACTCGACTCGGGGTGGAGGGCGAGGGCCATTCTGTCCTCTTCCTGCTGACTAACAGGACTGACCCCTCACCTTTCAGCTGTCGTGGCTGCTCTTTTCACCTCATCCATTTGGGCTCAGCTCGTCCATCCAGGGAAGAGGCTGTGGGATGGGTGGTGGGTCTTTGTATCCTCACCTGTTGGTGACCCAGGCCCCAGGCCATGGGATCTCAGCCCTCACTGATGTTTTATCCCCCAGACACAGGCGGCGAGGAGGACGAGGAGAACCCAGAGTTCACGGGCGACGAGACAGAGCCGTTCCTGGACCAGAGCAGCACCCAAGGCCCGGGGGCGCCCACCACCCCCCAGAAGCCCCCTTCCCATCCTCCCCCCTACCAGCTTGGGAGCAAAAAGAAGAGGAGCCCTACCCACAAGCTGCTGTCAAATAAACCACAGGACTTCCAGGTGACAGGCGGTCGCTGTGAGGCTGGGGGCAGCTGCCGTGTGTCCATCTGTCCTGTTGCATGGGCTCCTGCAGGCCCCTCCTGGCTCATAGTGTGGTTGCCCTGGGTCCAGGGGAAGGTCCTGAATTCCCATTGTCATGGCTCTGGCCCACACCTCAAAGGCATCAATTCTCCTGTCATCCTTATTTACTGTCCAGTGTTCAGATACTAAGGAAGTAGTTGACAAATACCATGGTTACATTAGGTGCACCTTAGTCTTTAAACTGACATTCTTGCTCTTTAGCATTTTAAAGATGTCCCTGACAGCTAGCGTATCTGCCCAGTGCAACACATCTTTTGAGTGATGGTTTATATTTATTTGTTAGCTAATCCATCAAACGTGCCAAACGTGGTAATGGATACCCATGGTGGACAGTGTTGGCTGGAGCTTCCTGACTAAAACAAGCCTGGAAGCAGGAGTGGCATCCACTTCCGAAATGGCTTGCCTCTGGAAACTCTGTGTACATGGCTTGCCTCTGGAAACTCTGTGTACAAACAGTGCTCAGGCCTTTCGTTCATAGGGTCGCTATGAGTCGTCTACGACTCAACGGCACCTAATAACACAATAACAATCCCTTAAAAATCCAGGGCAATTTCACAGCTCCAGGTAGCTCTCAAACACGGGTTCACAGGAGGCTGGTGGATCACAGTGAAGAGTCGGCATACCTTTGCATCTATTTTTCCAGACCAGGGTTTATGCATCTCCCTAGCTCTGAGGACCAGCAGCCTGGGCGTCACCTGGTGGCTTGTCAGAACTGGAGCATCGAACTCCAACCCCCTCACTTTCCCACTGCTGTCAAATCTCCTAGCTGCACCCCAGTGCGATTTCAGAGGCTGTAAATCACATGGGAGGCGATGGCCTGTCTTTCCCTTGGAGCAGCAGTAAATTCAAACCTCCTGCTTTGGGCTTGGCAGGACACTCCTTACCCACTAGGACCCCACAGCTCCCCATCTTAGACCTCCTGAATTAGAATTTACGTTTTTTAATAGGATCCTCAAATCGGTGAACTTCTGTCTAGCCATCTTGTTTCTCCATCTGCCATCTCCCTCTCTGTTATCAACAACAACTCCAGCACAACCATGGGTTTTTCTGAAATTCTTAGGCAAATTGAATTTGTCCAAGTGCTTCACAGAACTAGGATATTAGCCCTCTGACATATTTTAACCTAAAAATTCACCTCATTTTGTTTTTTTAAAAATTTTAACCCTTTGATTAATCTTTTCTGTTAGAATTTTGATAAAATTATATTTAAAAATACTTTATTTCACTTTCCTTTAAATTTACAAATAGGAAACTTCTGTCTCTCTTAAGCATAACAAATCATAAAGATAAACTTCTAAGTCATGGTTACTGAAACAAAAGTTTCAGCTATAACCTCTGTGTCCTGAGAGAGCGTAACATCCTGTTATAAATGTAAGAGTTTCTATGTTTGCCATAGAAAATTTAAAAAATACAGCAAAATGAAGATATTCAATCATTCTTCCGCCTTCCTATTGTTATTAGTAATACAGCCTTCAGTAGCACGAAGGAGAATGGTTGAAAAGAAAGAAAATAACTGCTGATTAGAAATCAGAACCACAACATCCTATTTTGCCATGAAAATTGCTTTAATGTTTACTTAACATTTGGCAACATGGAAGTTCTTGAATCTTCGTTTATTTAAAGTTTAGTGGGGAAATAATTATTTTCTCTTAGGATATGAGGAAGCCTCATAGCTGAGAATATAAAGAAGAAAAACTACTGGCAGGGGAACCTCATGGAGTGTATGTGTGTGACATGCACACACACGCAGCCTGTAGCGACATGGTGAAAACAGATTAAAGCCATTTAAAACAGTTATACCAACAAACCATTAAGAAAGCACAAAACACAATGTATATAAACCAAAAAATAAACCACCCCCCCAAAACTAGATGCACTAGTGGGGTCCCTGGTGGGCTTTTTGTCCAAGTTATTCTAATAAAAATCTATTTTATTCTGTGGCTTTTCCATATTAGATTAAAATGTCAGTGTCAGGGTATGAAAATGCACAGACGAACGGTGACAACAACATTGACAACTGTGCTTAGAAAGAATAAAAGGGTCATGGGCAACGGATTACCATGACACGGAACCAAAAATACGTCATGAGTGTAATTAACGTGGTTCAAGACAGTGCTGCTGCCCTCGGTCAGCCGCCAACCTCGGTCACCAGGGGACAACGCACTTCCCGGCCCTGCCCAGACAGATAGGTGTGAGCTGTTGTGGATCCGAAGCATGCCGACTGGCTGACTGTTTGGGAATGGGTCTCCAGACCTTTCTTCCTAGTCTTATTCTGGAAAAGCTACAGAAACCTACCCAGCACCATGTCAATATACAAGCCTCTCTGGGTGGTGGCTGGGGGTGGGCGGTGGGCCTTGACTGAGAATGAATCCTGAGTCTCCCTGATGGGCAGAATTCAGCCAAATAAACGACATATCCCACAGCATAATTGTTGTTGTGTACCGTTGAGTCGAAGCCAACCATAGCTGACCCTCCAGTGTGTTTTCAGAGGTTATTAATTGCACAGAAGGAGAATGTCCATCCTTCTCCCACGGAGCAACTGGTGAATTCAGACTGCGTGCCTTTGGAATTGTAGTGCAGCTTCTTACCACTCGGCCGTGAGAGCTCCCTAAAGAAATGTGGACATTTTAATGCAGTACTGTAGGTAGGATCACAGAATCAGACCCAAATTTTTGACCCTGAGTTTAACTCTGGGCACATACTTGGGACAGCCTGGCAATTTCTATATGAAGCTGTTGACTTTTGTAGTTGCAAGGGTCCAGTTTTTGAAAATGTGCTTATTTTTCTAGTTCTTTTCCTGCTCACCCTTTCCAGGAAGCTGCAGTGAGAATAGTCCCTGAGATTCTGGACTCTCTAAGGGAGGAAGTAGGAGCTCTGGTGGCTCGGTGGTTAAGGAGCTGCACTGCCAACCCAAAGGCAGGCAGTTTGAATCCACCAGCTGCTCCGTGGCATGAAAACGGGCAATCTCCCCATGCATGATTTACAGTCTCTGAAGGCCCTTTGGAGGCTCAGCTATGAGTTGGTTCCAACCTATGACACAGAACAACAATAGCAGGGGTGGGTCTGGAGGGCAGGTGGTCTCATGCCTGCCCCCCGCCTAGACTCTTCTTCCTCTTGCTTTCAGATCAGGGTCCAGGTGATCAAGGGACGCCAGCTGCCAGGCATCAACATCAAACCCGTGGTCAAAGTCACTGCTGCCGGGCAGACCAAGCGGACGCGGATCCAGAAGGGAAACAGCCCAGTATTCAACGAGGTGGGGGATGCTGGGCAGGGTGCCTCGCCAGAGACTCACTGATCAAGGCTAGGACCACGGTGGCCATCACACTGGGAGCCCCCAGCAGATGCCAGATTATCAGTGGGCAGTGTTTGTAGAGAGGCCCTCGTGTTGGGCTGAGTTTTATGCCAGGTCCTGGGTGGGCTGCCTGAGGACCTGGAAAAATTCCACCTTTTATCCCATCACGGCTCCACATCCCTGCCATCCTGTAGGGCCAGCCACAGCCCCTGTCCCTGGGATGACAACCTCAGGGACAGGGTGACATGACCCCCTCTGGGACACCCAGGACGTGTTGGCTTCTGAAGGGCCCCGGTCTGGGCTGAGCTCAGCCTGTACTTCCTGCCTGAGCAGAAGTGAGGGTGATAACCTGGAAGTGCAGTCAGGAGGGTGGGACAGCCTCTCCCACCTGAGGTGAGCAGACATTTATCTCCCTTCTCTTCTCCAACCAACAGACTCTTTTCTTCAACCTGTTTGAGTCACCTGCCGAGCTGTTCGACGAGCCCATCTTCATCACGGTGCGTCTCAGCAATGTGTGTGTGTGTGTGATTTCCGTGCTACTGTGCATTCAAAGCTCCATCTCACACACTGTGGACATGTTGCCAGGAGGGACCAGTCCTTGGAGAAGGATATCGTGCTTGGGAGGGTGGAGGGTCAGCCCAGGAGAAGACGACCCTGGAGGCGTTGGTCTGACACGTGACTGTGGCAAAGGGTCAGGTGTGTCAGGTGGTAAGGCTGGTTCAGAACAGGGCAAGGTGCGGAGCTGTTGTTCACAGGGTCGTTACGAGTTGTGGTTGACTCAGTGGCACATGCCAACAACAGTGTGTGTTCAGGTGTGCATACGACACACGACTGTGTGCACTTGTGCATGTGAAGGGATCATACGTGAATTCCTGGGCATGTGTGTGTACGTATGTGAGCTCTTCCAGTCACAGAATAGTCAGAGCAGCTGGGAGGGGCAGACCTCACTGTCCAGCACCTGCAGGTCCCCACGTCAGGGCCCTTAAATGTTCATTTGCAGCAAAGACCTTGGCTATTTTTGTCTCATTTTATCTGTCCATGTGCCTACTTCCACCAAGATCCTCTTTCCCGGGGCCATGGCCCCTGCCTCCACTCCCCATTGCAGTGTCGTGGTTCAGAGAGTGGATTCTGTAGCCGCACGGCCTGCGGTAGTCTTGTCTGTGTCTCTTAGGGCCTGGAGGATTCCGCACAAAGCCGGGAGTCTCGCTGTGCCTCTGTCTTGTCATCTGTAAAGTGGAGTGATAGCATGCCCTCATTGCTCACCGGGTGCTGCAGTGGCTTATACTCAGAACAGCCTCGAGATTAGAGAAAGGGCTGAGTGCTGTTGACTGTTGTCTTGGGAGGAAGGTGTGGGCCTAAGCTGGGTGTTTTGGGGGCCCCCTCTCCCCATGTAAATGAGTGTCCCCTTCTCTCTTTCTCAGGTGGTGGATTCCCGCTCCCTCAGGACAGACGCTCTCATCGGGGAGTTCCGGGTAAGAGTTCATCTGCTTTTGGAGATGGTTGGTTCTTGGTTACCTGTGAGTGGAGGAATCAGTGGATAGTGTACAGGGGCTGGTGCTCCAGGAACCCTAATCCTGACTGCCACAGGCCAGCGTGACCTGGACACTCTCTGCCCTGGTCTCACTCTGGCCCTGGGCTGCGGTGTGGGGACTGACTGTGAGTCCTGGAGGCTTAGGAGCAGTTGAGCGAACAGAGAGCCTGGAAGGCATGCTGGTTTGTTCTGAATAGTCCACAATGAATACTGGACAGTCTGCTGCAGAGGACAAGAAGCGATCTTACAGCTCAGCTCAGAGGGCAGTTAACAGACTGTGTGATGCATAAAAACAGTGAATGCGTGTGTGTTAGAGAACTTTGCTCTGGAGGGTTCAGTGGGTGACCTTCCAGAAGTCCATCCCCAGTTCTTTTATCTCAGACACTTCTGCATAAACTTGAACCATGCACCTTTTGGTTGGTAGCCCAGGACTTTAACTGTATTTGACACCCAGTGTCGCGTAACTTACGTGCTAACAGCAAGGATCTGAGTGGCCCTGGGGAGTTCTGGTGGCCTTGGACGTTGGGCTTTGTGCTCCGAACAAAAAGACGGTTGATTAGAACCCACCAGCTGTGCAGTGGGAGAAAGATGGGCAGTCTCCTGCTGTTGTTTGGTGCCATCGAGTCAAGTATGATGCAAACGCTATGAACAACAGAACCCTGTCCTATCCTGTGCCGTCCTCACAATCTCTGGCACACTCAAGCTCATTGCTACAGTCACTGTGTCAGTCCACCTGGTTCAAGGTCTTCCTCTCCTTCACCACACCTCTACTTTCCCAAGTATGATGCTCCTCTTAAAAAAATAGCCTTCCCTGAACCAGAGTATTTGAGACAAAGCTTCACCTTCCTGCCTCCAAGGAGCACTCTGGCTGCACCTTCTCCAAGACATATCTGTTTGTTCTTTTGGTTGTCCGTGAGATAGTCAGTGCTCTTCTCCAGAACCACAGCTCAAATGCATCAGTTCTTACTCTGTCATACTTACTGGTTGTCCAGCTCTCAGATGCATAAAAAATGACGGGAAAGACCGTGGCCTCATTCAGGTGCACAGTAGTCTTCAAACTGACTCTTCAGTAATTTAGAGAAGTTCCTAACTACATACCTTCTAGTTTATAACATCTGAAAACCCACTGGAGGGTCAGCTATGAGTCAATTCCAACTCAACAGTATTGAGTTTTGTTTAGTTAAATGACATTTTAAAGTAATTTTGTTGATTTCTTCTATTTTATAAAGCACATTTCCCCCTTCACTCAATCATTCATAGTCATTTTGTTCCAGAACATTAATTAAAATACACACAATCTTTGATCATCCATGCATTTCATTTGTGGAAAGGAAATAAAGAGCACAGGCTTACTTGGACCTGTTACTTTTATACAGATTGTCCCTTATGCTCTTTTTTTTTTTTAATTTTTATTTTGTGTGCGTGTACCGTCAAATCAGATCTGACTGGTACAGGAGGATATTGCGCCTCCTTCTCCGGCAGAGCATCTGGTGGATTCGAACCGTGTTCCTCTGGGATTGCAGTGCAGCTTCTTGCCACTAGGCCACCAGAGCTCCCCCCCCTTATGCTCTTTGAGAACAGGCACCAGGTAAAAAGCAAGGTCTCTTTCTAGAGATGTATCCTCTGAAGGATGTCAGCCTATATCACTCTGGACAGCTAATATACAACCTGCATTGTGGCTTTGATTGCTAATCGCTTTGTGAATTCAAAGGTTAAGTCTTTAAAGTGGCTATTACTTTTTTCTATTATAAAAATGGTCTGCACTTTTAATGGAAAATGATAAACCACAAGAAAAGAGAACATTTTCAAAATACTCCAGATCCATTATACTCTTGGCACCAGCAGTCGGGAAACCAAAAGATAAATTGCATTAGGAAAAGTCTGCTGTCAGGGACCTCTCCCAGAGTACTGAGGAGCAATGATGTCAGTCTAGAGACAAAGGTGTGCCTGATCCAGGCCATGGTCTTTGCGATTACTTGCTGGGCATCAAAGAGCTGGCCAGTGACTAAAGATGATAGAGGAAGAATTTATGCCTTTGAGTTGTGATGCTGGAGAAGACTCTTGAACATGCCATGGACTTGTAAGAAAACAAATAGGTCTGTTTTGAAGAGGGTGAAACCAAGTTTCTCCTTGGAGGCTGGGATTTTGAAGCTCCGTCTCACGCACTTCAGACAAGTGGCCAGGAGGGACCAGTCCTTGGAGAAGGACATTGTGTTCACCCAGAAGGGTGGAGGGACAGCACAAGAGATGAAGCTCCTGCATGAGATGGATTGGTGCAGTAACTTGGGCAATGAAGGCAGGTGTGTCAGAGTCAATGAGACAGGCTCAGGACAGGGTGGGATTCAGAGCTGCTGTACTATGTATGACCCTGTGGTCGCTATGAGTCACAGGCACCACTACCACCACCAGATCCATCACCCCCAGAGATAGTAGTGTAAGGGTGTTGTACTTGTTTTCCCTGCTTAGAAACTTGAGGAGTTCTGGGGTCTAGTGGGTAAGGAGTTGCATTTGCAACCCAAAGGCAGGTGGTTCAAATCTTCCATCTGCTCCATGTGAGCGAGATGGACAGTCTTCTCCTGTGCATTTTACAGCCTCTGAAAACCCCCTGGAGGGTCAGCTATCAGTTGATTTGAACTCAGAGTGGCATTGAGTTTAAGTTTTTGAGATAAACATTACAAAACTGGGATTGCATTATGTTTTTCTTTCCTTCTGTATAATATTAGATGATGAACATTTCCCTGCATCGTCAAATTCTCTTCAGAATCAAAACAGAGTCTGTAATGGAACCCTAGGCTGCACTGTCCTCATGCAGTGCTCAAGGGACAGGAGTCTGACCTGTGTCCCCTCTTTTTTATTTCAGATGGACGTGGGCTCCATTTACAGAGAACCTCGTAAGTTGTGCTCCCACCATTTAACACTCATCCCTACGTTTGGTTCTGGAAACTTCTTGGGGACACCTGTGAGGGACTTTAAGTTTTCCTCGTGGGAGATTTAGAGTTGAGAAGAGGGCTTTGGTGTTGGTGGAGAGGGCTCCAGGAGAGTCTTCACGCACCAGGTAAAGCAGGCCCCCAGGAAGACCACCTCTCACCTGTCCTACAGTCTGCTCCATCAGGGGTGCAAATCTGGAGGGCCTCAAAGGGTTTCTAGTGATGGGGGTTGTCTTAGAGAAGGACTGGCCATTTGAGTGGTGAGTGTAGGATTTCACCTCAGGGGAGTTCTGGTGGCCTAGTGGGCAAGGAGCTGTGTGGCCAAGCCAGAGGCAGGAGGTTGGAATCCATTTACTGCTCTGTGGAAGAAACATGGGAGGTCTCCTCCTGTGTGATTTACAGCCTCTGAAAACCTACCAGTTAGCTATGAGGCAGTGCTGATTCTATGACAGTAAGTTCAAGTCCCTGAGTGGGAGAGAATGGCATCAAATGGACTTGGCCTTGGCATCCTCTAGTCGAGGCTCCTGCTAATAGCTCTGACTCCTCCCCCACGAGCACTCAGGGCCCCTTTTGGCTCTAGAACCTGTGTTCTTCCCCATTGTCACCTCACTCACCTGGGGCCATCTGTCAGCACACGTGGGCCCTTCCAGCTCTGGCTTGCTCACCGAGACTGTCTCTTTCAGGACACGCCTATCTCAGGAAGTGGCTGCTGCTCTCCGACTCCAGCGATTTCTCCGCCGGGGCCAGAGGCTACCTGAAGGCCAGCCTCTATGTGCTGGGTCCCGGGGACGAAGCTCCGGTAAGTCCACTTCCGGAGTCTCAGCACCGTGGGATGCTGGGTGATGGGGATACTGGACAGAAGACAAAACCTGAGGCGTGCTGGTGGCCTAGTGGCAAGATGCTGCCCTGCAATTCCGGAGGCATGCAGTTCGAGGCCACCAGCTGCTCCGTACAAGGATGGGCAGTCTCCTCGGGTGTGATTAACTGCCTCTGAAAACCTGCTAGAGAGTCAGCTATGGGTCATTTACAGTCCACAACGACAATGTAAAAGAGTACATGTTAAGGGGAGCTCTGGTGGCCTAGTGGCAAGGAACTGCAACTACAATCCCAGAGGCGCACGGTTCGAATCCACCAGATGCTCTGCCGAGGAAGGAGGGACAATCTCCTCCTGTACCAGTCAGATCTGATTTGACGGTACACTCACACAAAAATAATAAAATTAAAAAAAAAGAGTACACGTTAATGATGAGAAACGTAGAAGATAAAGAGTCTGTCACTCAGTCCTACCACGTGGAGGCAGCTCTTATTAACATCTTATAGCACATCCTTCTCGAAGGACGTACATGGACGTGCATCTTTCTGCAACAATGAGATGATTCTGTATATTCAGAATTATAGTTAGAAATTTTTCTTCTTATAGAGATAGCATCTTCCAGGTCATTTGGTTCAGTGAAGCGTTAGGTGGTAAGAAGAAGAAGGGTCTTGAGGGTTTGGGAGGTGTCAGCTTAGATCGGCACCATGTCTTTGCTGTTTTTGTTCCTGGTTGGCGTGGGAAGGAGACCAAGCCAACTGTATACCAGATGCACTTACGTCACTCTCAGTGTGAATCCTGTGACAGTCCTGCAGGGTTGGTGTTATGTCCCCAAGGAGCAGAGGGGGAAGCAGAGCCAGTGGGAGGTCCCTGTGGTCACAGGCGCAAGAGGCCGAATGAGGTCGCCCTGACTGTAAAGGGCCCTCGCTGCCGGGCTGAAAGCTGAGTCCTTAGAATAAAGAAGGTGACCTGTTCCAGAGTGATTTGGGGATCATACTTGGTTTGCTTTGCAGCTGGAGAGGAAAGACCCCTCGGAAGATAAGGAGGACATTGAAGGCAACCTGCTGAAGCCCACCGGGGTGGCCCTTCGAGGAGCTCACTTCTGTCTGAAGGTGTACAGGGCGGAGGATTTACCTCAGAGTAAGCCTGGCACCCTGTGCCTGCCTGCGGGCCCTGGGACACTCTCGCGGGGTCATAATGATGGCCAATGCCCTTGGGCCTTCGTTTTTTGGCCTGTAGCCTCTTTCTCAGATCCTCCCAGAGCCTCCCCCTGCAGGGGACCTTCCTCCACTTCCTTAGAGTTGGAACCGACTCCTAGCTGACCACCTTCCAGCAAGATGTGGAGTTTGGTTGCTGGGTTTCTCTTGCAGAGTAGCTCATGGATTCACCCTGCCTGCCTTTGGGTTGAGGGCACAGCTGGCTCCCGCTTCACATGAGAATATGTGCAGACATAAACTGGAAATTTCTGCGAGCATTGGACTTGACAGAACATAGATTGTAAATGTAAACCAAGAAAAATAGAATGGATTTAGCAGTTGAATTTGCCTCAATCTGAATTCTGAAGGCTTTGAAAATGTCTGATGGAGATGCTTAGCGGTACCCATATAAACAGGCCCAGATTCTTCTGACTTGCCCACCTATAGCGATCCAGGTTTCTAATAACCAGCCAGTCAATCAGGTGGCCCTTCGCAGCCTTTGGAGAGCAGAGTAAGCAGCTGTTCGAGGCTGGTACCCTCAGATACTCCCACTTGGATGGCCATCCCTCCCACAGCCGAGGTCCCCAAAACTCTCTCAAGTGTCTCGTGATTGCCAGGAGACATGTGGGCGGGAGGACGGGTTTAGGATCTGGGGAAGCAGGCCCTTAGTGACCCCTGCCCTCCTCCACAGTGGACGATGCAGTGGTGGACAGCGTGAAGCAGGTCTTCGGATTTGACAGCAACAAGAAGAACCTGGTCGACCCCTTCGTGGAGGTCAGCTTTGCAGGGAAAATGGTAAGGAGCATGGAGGCGCATGTCCCTCCGGATAGGACATGCTGGATGGATGTCCCTCCTGGCCACATGACCAAAGCACGTGAATACTCTAACCCATATACATTTTGTTTCTTTCATGTCAATTGCGGTTTATACAATCTTTCATTTACATTGTGTTTTATATGATCATTCATAACATTGTATTTTATATAGTGAATTACTGTGCCTGTCATCACACTGTCTTTTCAAGTCTCTTTCAAGCTTGAATTCTTCCTATTCCTTCAAACCTCCCATCCCACCTTCACACCTCCCATCCCACCTTCATGCCTCCCATGACACTGACCCCTGCTTTGCACATGATTTCCACCCATCCCCCTTTCCCACCCCTTCTCCCTTCTCCCCCTTTTCCTGCTCTTTCCCCCTTTCCCACCTCTTCTCCCTCTCAGCCTGTTCCCCCTCTCCATCCCTTCCCCTTCTTCTGCCCCTTCCCCCTTTCCCCCTTCCCCTTTCACACCCTTCTGGTTCAGTCCCCCTTCCCCCTTCCCCCACTTCTCCCTTTCCCTTTTCCTAACCCTTCCCCCCAGGCCCCTTCCCCCTCTCCATGTCTTCTCTCTCTCTCTCCTTCCCCCTTTCCTGCCCCTTTCTCCTTTCTGTTCCTTCCCTCTCCTTCCCCCTCTAGGCCCCTTCTGCCTCTCTATCCCTTCCCCCTCTTGACCCCTTCCCCCTCTCCCACCCCTTCCTCCTCTCCCACCCCTTCCCCTTTTCTACCTCACCTTTTGAACACTTCATCATCTTGCTCTGTTATCCTTCCATTGTTGCAATGGGACTGTCTTGAACAGTATTTGTCCTCAAGAGACTGAGTTTGATTGAGTTTTGAAGGAGTGCTGGTCATGAAGTTAAAAGTATTCGGTTGTCATTTCAGGGTCAGTTGTTTGAAGCCCCTCAGGAGAAAGACCAGGCAGAGTTTAGGCTGTGGTGACTGATTTTATAAATCACAGTATATGAGAATGAATGAAAGTGTGGAACAAATTGTGTACGAATTTTGTATGCAAACCAAAATGGCAAATGTTTTTTTGACATTTGTTTACCACAATTAATACAAATGTGAAAAAAAGAAAAAACCATTTACAGACATGAGAACCCCATGTGGCACTTGATTTCCTGTGGCATCTCAGGGCTGGAATCAACTTGATGATGACAGTGACAATGGCTTTGACTTTGTGGTCATTTCCACTCAGTGATGTCACTTTGGTTTTGCTGGGCCGCTTCTTTAGCACTCTCACAAATCCTCTCTCCTCATCTTAATTGCAAACTCCTCTTGGAAAGAGGCAGGGCCTGCCAGTCTTTCTCTTGTAGAAGCCAAAGTGCTGAGATCCTGGAAGGCAGCCTCACTACCAGAGGGGGTGGCCTTGTCCCTGAGATGTGAGGTGGGCTCTCAGGACAGAGTATGTTTCCTCCACCTTCTACTTCTCGTGTGGAGCTTTTTCTTCTGTTTATCCACCCTTCTTTTATTACCAAAACATGTTTACTTAAAAATCCAAAGTGGAAGGAATAGGAAAGATTCCCCATGGACTCAAAAAGAAATAGGCCAGTTGTTGCTATGTACCATCCAGTTGCCTGTGACTCATAGCAACCCTGTACACAATAGCTCTGAAGCCTGCCCTATTCTGAGCCAGTCTCATCGTCTTTCACATATCTATTCCCATTACCCCACTTCCTGTGTCAATCCATCTCATCTGTGGTCTTCTCCTCCTGGGCTATCCTTTCCAAGCATGACATCCTTTTCCAAGGACTAGTCCCTGCTGGCTATATTCCCAAAGTATGTGAGATGGAGCTTCAAATCCTTATGTCCAAAGAGCAGCTTAGTTTCACCCTTTCCACGACAGACCTATTTGTTCTTCTGGTGGTCACGGTCTGTACAATATTCTTCTCTAGCATCACAGCTCAAAGACATCAGTAGTTCTTCTGTCACCTTAGTCCACCTCTCTGATGCATAGCAAATAATGGCAAAGATCATGGCCTGGATCAGCTGCACCTTAGTCTCTAGAATGACATCATTGCTCTTTGGCACTTTGGAGAGGTCCCTGACAGTAGATTTCCCCAAGAGAGCTCATCTTTTGATTTCCCTACTGTTGGTGCCAAGGGTGTTGATTGTGAAGCTGAGCAAACTGTAACTCAACAACTTCAGTCTCCATCTGTCACGGTGCTGCCAATTGGTCCAGTGGTAAGAATCTTTGTCTTCTTGATACCAAGCTTCAATCCATATTGAAGGCTACATAACAATAGTTGTAGATCAGTAGTCATTCTATAAAATATAATGTATATGAATGATGGTATGAAACAATATAAATGAAAGAGTGCATGAAACACAATGCAAGTGAATGAAATACTATATAATTATTGTGTGCAAAGCAGTTAATACAGGAAGAATGAAAATGAAAACATAAAAGCCCTGAAGTGTTGCAAAGTGCGCCTTTAGGTTCTTACCCTCCCATTTCCTTTCTCTGTTGTGGGTGCCGTTGAGTCATGGCCACCTTGCAGTGACCCTGGGGTCTCAGAGAACCCCTCCATAGGGCTTCCTAGGTCAGATGAGATTAGGTGAGTTCTCAGGGAAGTAGGTTCTGTGTGACCTTCTGTTCATCGTAGTACATCGGCATTGATGTCAGGTTGTCCCCTCATGGTCGTTTGATCAGCGTGGTGCCTGCAGAGCTCTGTGCTTCGCAGTTCCTGCTTCCTTTGAGATCAGCAAGCCATCTGCGTGGGTATCCTGGCACCCATCTCACTGAGGATCTTCCTCTCTTTTACTGACCCTTCACCTTTCCCAGGATGATGTCTCTTTCCAGCAACTAGCCTCTTTTGATAGGATATATAAGCCTCCAAGATCTGTAGATCTTATTAAACTAAATTTTACTTACTGTTTCTCTGGATTCCCAAGATGTAGTCAGCCCCTGCATAGCTGCCTGGCACCCTCCTGTGGATTCTCCTGTAGATTCCCAGGTGTAGGTGGCCCCTGTGGACTCCCACAGCCTAGTCGGGCCCTGTGCTGCTGTCTGGCGCTCCCCTGTGGACTTTTACAGCAGAGCTGGCCCCTGTGCTGCCTCCTGGCCCCCACTGTGGACTCCCAGCATGTAGTCTGTCCCTGTGCTGCTGCCTGGCACCCCAAATGTAGTCAGGATCTGAGCTGATGGGGTGGTTCGGCTTCCAGCCCTGCTAGGTTTGTTGGTGGAGAGCCAAGCCTGCAAAGTAGGGTTGAGCTGAGGAGGCCGCCTGTGCCTTATGGGGTATGTGTGGTCAATGAGCTTGCTGCTCTCCCCCAGATGCAGTGCATGACTCCTAGACCTGGCCCTCCACCTGCCCCTTCCCCATCTCCTAGTGCTCATAATCTAAGAACGTGGCAGGTGACCCCTACTGATGGGCAAAGGGATCACTAGGAGTGGTGAGTACTCTTTGGAAAGTTAGGGCACCTCAATTTAGGGCTGTAGGAGGTGAAATTTTCACCCCGGGATATCTCTGGATAAGGGAAGGAGAGCTGTGACATTCAGCAGCACCTTTAGCTGGGGTTTAGCTCAGGGTTTGACCTTTGTCTCTGCAAACATTTCCCATGTCTGCTCATGGTGTTGGGTCCTAATGCCCCTGGGCCTTAGCCCAGCCTGGAGGCCTCTGATGGCTGTGGTAGCCCTTGAGGATCCCCAGAGACCCCATGGAACCCAACCCACCTATCCTGTGTCTTCTAGCTCTGCAGCAAGATCCTGGAGAAGACAGCCAACCCACAGTGGCACCAGAGTGTCACGCTGCCTGCCATGGTGAGAGCTGGCCCCTGTGCCCTCGGGCCGATATCCAGTTGCCTCCTGGGTGGCTGCTGGGAGGATGGGTGCCAGCTTCTCCAGAGACCCTGCTCCCAACATGTCTCTCTTCCTCCTCAGTTTCCCTCCATGTGTGAAAAAATGAAGATTCGTGTCATGGACTGGTGAGTTCTGAGCCTGGGACTCCTTCGAGGTGGGTGTTTTTAGGGGGGTCCTGGGCCATTTCAGTTCAATTTGCAATTTGATCAATCTCTGCATAGTGAGTTGGGTCGTTTAGGTGGGGAAGTGGGAAGATGAGTCGGCTGTTCCCCAAGTCCTCACTCACAGCCTGCTGGGAGGGGGTGCTTAGGGATGGCGCTGTCAGGGCTGTGAGGAGGAGACAGAAGTCCTGGGGGCAGGAGGCACCAGGGAGGGCTTCCTGATGGAGGTGCTAACCTGGGGCAAGGAGGGGATTTGATGATTTCAGGGGGAGGGTCATAGGAAAAGGGGAGTATGGTGTCTGGGAGGAAGAGCCCTGAGGTCCCAGAAGCAGACTTGCTCCCAAGTTGGTGGAATGGACCCGGCTCCCTGAGCAGGGGCCCCACTGCAGGCTGGGCCAGGTGAGGGACTAGCCAGGTGTTTTAGAAAAGTAGTGGGAGGTAACATTTCCTGAAGAGCCTTGGGCAGTGGGTGCTGTCAGCATACTTGGGTGTTACCTGAGAGATTGGAGGCCACTGAGAGGAGCCTAGGAAGTAAGGCTTGGTATCTCCCCAAGCTTGACACCAACACATGGGGGCGCTGGCAAGTGCTTCTCGTGCATCGTCCAGGTAACGTTTCCTCTCCACTCTGATGTGGAGACTTGGAGTGACGTGCTAGAGGTGACCTAGCTAGGCCAGGGTGGAGGCTGTCCTCAGACCCCAGCCTGCCCTTCTGGAGCCTGCTGAACTCCCACACCCAGGAGCCAGTAGGGCCTGACACGTGTGCTTTCCAGAACCTTCCACACACCAGTCTTTCCAGAAAGGGAGCGCTGTCCTCTCTCTGCCCCCAAACAGTGGTGGCCGTGTGGTTCCCAGTGTGTTCTCCTCTGGTCTCGGGCCCTTGGCACCCCCAACCAGGAGGATAATGAGAGAGCAGGGAAAAACCCCCAGACCACAGGGCCGTTAAAGTGCGTGCCAGTTCCTGGGGCCTAAAGAAAACAGCTTGTGAGAATTAGAGGCGAGGAAGGGGCACAGCGGGGAGGGCCGGCTGGGGCCCTGACCACGGGAATGCACCTCAGGGAAGCGGTTTGGAGGGGAGATGCGCTTGACGTCCACAGAGCGGGCTTCATTCCAGCTCCTGGTGTGTGTGCACGTGTGCTTGTGTGTGGAAGGTGCTGATGGTGGGCGACTGGCTGTGTCTGTGGGTTGTATGTGAGCACGTGCACAGGGCTCATGTGAGGTGTGTGTGTGTGTGTGTGTGTGTACTTTGCCCTGATGGCCCTGCTGATGGCCTCAGCATACTGTACAATCCAAACACATTACAGAATCTGGTGGCTGTGCTTTGGGTTTGGGCCGGAGTGGCATTTTTATTGTTGAGTCTATTTTCAGACTTGCAGTATTTTCCAAAAGCAACCCCAAGCCTCAAAACCCAGCTCTTGGCCAGAGAGCATTCATCGGCTGCAAACTTCTCTCCAGAAAGGACTTTCTTCCGAGAAAACGCAGCTAAACCGATGTTATTACCTGAATCCTGGAAATGTGGAGTCGTCCACATGGTCCTTTGTCTGTTACTTAACTATTAATTGCATTCTTTAGAGTTTTTCTTAAAAACAGAAAGCTCTCCCCCAAAGGGTTATTCTTAATTGTTGCTGAGTGGGTACCCAGCTCATGGCTACCCCTGAACAACAAGATTGAACCCCTGTGGGTTTTTGTAACTGAATTTTGGAAACTGATTGCCAGACGTTTATTCCTAGTCCCTCTTCATCTGAGAACTGCTTAGATCGGTTCAGTGTCATAGAAAGGTGCAAACACCCATGATAGATGGGTTGTGGTAAGCAGGAGGTACAACAGAATCTCAGTTTTCTTGCATGGAAGATGAGAACTCTACCAGTGTACCCACCCCGCCAATCTAATTGGATTTAGGTGCTCTGTTGGCCTACTGGTCAGGAGCTGCACTGCCAACTGAGAGGTACGTGGTTCAAATCCACCAGCTGCTCTGCGGAGGAGAAAGATGGGTAGTCACTTCACGTGGGATTTCCAGCCTCTGAAAACGCACTGGAGGGTTGGCTGTGGCCTGGTTCTTACTCAGTAGCTTACAACAACAGCAGCAACCACAATCTGATTCTGAGATTTCACGGAGCAGAATTCGGATTCATTTCCAAGAGTGGGTCTCTTCTAGGGACCATTCACGGGGTCAGGTGAGCGGGTGCTAACTGTCAGCTTTCTGACATGGATAATGCCATTGTGAAAGGTTTAAGAATATTGATTTCGCTTTCCAATCTCCATTGGCATCTTTCTGTGGAACAAAGATCTAGCTGACAGTCTTCTTTTCTCAATGTGACCCAATGGCCTTGATGGAAAATGTTAAAATCAGAGCTTCACCACCCTGTGTGGGGGAGGGGTGTATGGATGCTAAGCAGGGAGGAGAGACAGGGACACCCATGGGGGTGTTTCCTGGGGCCTTGAGATGGAAAAGATACTGCCACCTCTTAGTGTGTCTATTATTGTGGGGTTCAGATATGTCACCCCTGGAAAAGCTGGTGGACAAAGTACACTTTGCAGGGACAAAGGATCCATGAGAGACCATCAATGAGAGGGAATGTGCTCTCTCAGAAAGTTCCAGAAGGAGATGGGCGTTTAGCCCAGCCAAGGACTCCTCAGCCTCAACCCATTTATGCAGTGGGTGGGACAGTGATTTGTGGCTGGGGGTATCCTGTGTGGTGTGGGATGTTTAGCAGTTGCCATGGCTACGACTGTGCATGCTGTGCTGGACACAGACGTTGTTGTTGTGTGCTCCCCTGCTAGTTCTCATTGTGACCCCACGGGACAGAGGAGAACTGCCCCATGAGATTCCCCAGGCTTCTGTGTTTTTTCTGGAAGCATCTTTTGCTTTTGGAGTATCTGGTGGATTTGAACCTACCACCTCTTGGTAGCAGCTGAGTGTTTTAACAATTGCACCGCCAAGGTGCCTTAAGTAGTGGTCTCAAAATCCACATATGTTAGTATTTCTGGATTTTGCCCAGTGCTCCCGAGGGGTCAGATCACCTGCTGGTCTGGCCTGAGAAGGAGGTTGTGGCTTTGTCTGCAGTTTTGACCTCAGGTGTTCCGGCCTCAAATCCCAGCTCTACCCTCTTGGCCAGTTATTTCATCTTCCCAGCCTCAGTTCCCTCATGAGAACTTGGGGCTCATAAAACCAGTGCCCACTTCCTGAGTTGACGTGAGGATTAAGGGAGCTAAACGATGTGAAGAGCTGACCCTTTACTCTTTCTAAGTGCCCAGTGAGTGTTAGTGGTGCTTCCAGAGTAAGAGGAGACTAGGAGAAAAGGCCTGGAGGTGTACTTCCAAAGCCCAGCAGTGTTTGGGTCCTCTCGGGTCACTGTGTGTCAGAGATGACTGGAAGACAGCTAACAGTAACACCAACAGTAACAACAGTAACATCACTATTATCACCACCACCACCACCACCAGAACGATAGCATTACTGTCATCACCATGACGGGCTCTGTAAGGGGCACGGAGGGAGGTCTGCACACACGTGGCTGTCCTGGTGGTTAATCAGCGGGCTGCACAGTCTCTGATGCTGCAGGAGGAGAGGAGAGACCTTCCTGTGGTTGATAAGACCACTCTGGGAGCAGCACTGGTGCTGGCAATGGGCCCCAAGACGCCTCCATAAGTTTCAGCCCTGGCTCTGCCCCTCCCTCCCCTGCTGCCCATGGACAAGCTCCTCCAGGCTCTGAGCCTCACTTCACACCTCTGTGTAACTGAGTTGGTGATAAAGCACATTCTGAGGATCTCGAGTGACCCCAGAGGCTGTCATGATGACCTTTCAGTCAGCTACGAACAGAGGACTAGTGCATGACCCATAAGTCTATCACCTTTAGTGGCTTCTGGCTCATACAGACCCTGGCCTTGGAGATAGCGTCCTCTGGTCACCTGGTTTGCTTGGGGGCCTGGGTATTCCTCTGGAGCTGTGATCCTTGGACAGCCTTCCACCCCCAGCCCTGCCCTGGTCTCCTCCCTCTCTCCTGTATGGTACCTAGGAGCCGCTGATGGTTGGCCAATAGGTGACAGATTGCTTTGGGGAAATGCTGCTGGCTGGCCAGTGGTTGACTGAGTTCCTTAGGGAAATGCTGATGGTTAACTAGTAATTGACTGATTCCCTTACGGAGGTGTTTATGGCTGGCCAGTGATTGACTGATTCTCTTGGAGAGGTGCTGATTGCTGGCCAGTGGTTGACTGAGTCCCTTAGAGAAATGTTGCTGGTTGGCCCGTGGTTAAGGACCCCTGGGCAGATATCCCAGGATCTTTCTCCCTAAGACCACCGTGTCTCAGTTACACACCCTGAGTGGAAACTGGGATGCTAACTCTCTCTATGGCCATTGCCTTCTGGTGGGCTGTGTCCTGTAAGCCCCTGCCTCACTCGGGTCCTCTCTGCCCCTTTGTTCTAGGGACCGCCTCACCCATAATGACATCGTGGCCACCACCTACCTCAGTATGTCAGCAATCTCTGCCCCTGGAGGAGAAATAGAAGGTAAGTGCCCCTCCTACGGTACCTGAAGGTCTCCCTGTGCCCCCTCCAATCTTCCACCTGTAGTTTGAGAATCTACAGAAAGGGATGAGTATGAAGCCCTCACTGCCCTTTGTGCTGGAGAAGGAGAGGGTGTGACGGCGGGCATGTGGGATTCTCCACACCTCGGACGGTGATGCCCACAGATGTGATGCCAGGGGCAGTCACCGGCAGGTAGAGCTGGGTGCCACAGCCGCACCGCCCACCAGGCTCTTCGTGGGACAGCTGGGCTCTAGCACTTTCTAATCTTAAGTAATTTTTTAAAATTGGTCTATTAAAACATAAACCACAATGGTTTATTACAATTTAAAGTAAAAGCAATCTTGTAGAAGAATGTAAAATTTACTCATGAAAATGACTCATAAATGTAACACTAGACAAGACCGAACTAAGAATATTCTAGACCTTTCTGTCCGTGTGTGTATATGTTCATGTGGACGCCTGTGTACGGACATATCTATGTGGACAGGCACATCAATTACTGATGTAATTGAGAACCAAATTGTTTTGAATCTTGGTGTTTGCCCCTTGACAATTTGGTATATTGTTCATGGAGTTGCTGTGAGTTGTAATTCACTCGATAGCACGTAGTAACAATACAGCATGGGTGGCTTTTCATGTCATGAAACATTCTTACACAAGCAATTTCCAAGGAATCCACATATGCCATTGCTAATTAGCTAGTCGCTGTTGAATTTTTAGGTGCTTGCTAATTTTGTACATTTTCCACAATTGGCTATGTATAGTGAATCTTGTATTGCCCCCTCTTTCTTATTTTCTTTTTTTACATGATCCTTTATCATTTTTCTTTTGGAGACATGACCTAGGCTTAGAATTGCTGTGTCAAAGAATTTGACCATTTTAGAGAGTTTTAGTTTCTATAGAAATTGCCGTTCAAAAAAAGTTGGTCTAATTTGTACTTTGATTAATCCCATAAACCCATTTCCCTGTAACCATGCCAATATGTGGCAAAAATAATAATGTTTTAAAAGAACTTTTTGGATTGGTGGGTAAAAATCACATCGCATTGTTGAGGTAATTTTGGTTCCTTTGATAGCTGGTTAAATTGCCCATAGCAGATTTTAAAATATTTTAATGATTATTTTTACACTGACATTGATATGCTTTGTGTCTCTTCTTCTGTAAATGATCTGTTCATGTGTTTGGCTCATACATTTGAGAGTATGTTTATCTTTTTCTCATAGTTTTGTTAGAGTTCTGTTTGTGTTTGGAAAAAACGATTGTCTGTCATGTATAAGGTACCTAGTTTTTCTCAGCTTTATTTTTTTTGGTTTCTTTTTTTTTCTATAATTATATTTTATTAATTTTCATAAACATTTACAGAGATTTTGGGTTTCCATTCATGCACCGTTGCACCATTCTCTCTACCCTCCTCCCAGTTTGTTCTTGTCCAAATGCCATGCTCAAGGTTTTTTGGTGTATGTTGTGTGGTGCGCGTTAAGCCAGCTCTGACTCAGCCCCCCAGCCTCGCACAGCCCCAAGCCACCCTCACAATCTCTGCTGAGCTTACGCACATCTTTGAAGTCACTGTGTCAGTAGAAATTTGAAATTTTTGTGTAGCCAAACCTAGTACTCATTTCTCTAGTGAATAAGATCTAACATAACTTTCCCCCCAAAATTGTTCCTAAGTAATACAAATGTTATATGCTAAATAATGTTTCCCCTCGATTTTGAAATGATGCTTTATCACTTACTAGATGTGTTCCTGAGCCCGCTTCTGGATTTTCTATTCTCTTCAGTTGGTCTGTCTGCTTATTTCTCAGGTTTTTGGTATCTGGGTTGTGCTGGCTCTGTAAAATTAATTGGAAATATTTAAAGTCTTCTCTAACATCTGGAACAGTTTATATAACATAGGAACATAATCTTTTGAGGGTTTGGAAGAACTCACCCATAAAACCATATGGGCTGGGTGCCCTTTTGAGTGGGTACAGTACTGACTTAGAAAAAAAGTTTTCAATTTCTCCTATGATCATTGTTATTTTTAGCTTCTTACTCCCCCCTTCCCTTAGTTAATTTTGAGAAAATGTACTTTCCTGGAAAAGCATCTATTACATTGAAGTAGTTTTATTTATTTAGTTATTGTTTTGCACATCTGTCTGTGAAATTCTCTCTGTGGCATTTTCTTATTTCTCATATTAGGTGGTTAAGTTTTCCCTTTCACTTTGGGGTTTTTAAAATTAGCATTATTAGACATTTTCTCACTTTATTGAACTTTTCAAAGAATCAATATTTGGACTTGTTTATCGCTTCTCCTATTTGCTGTTCTCATTCTCTATCCTCTACTCCATCTTTTTAGTCTTCAACTGTCATTAGACTTACTTTGTTATTCCATTTTAAGTTTTCCAATAAGTTTTTTGTGATTATTGATTTTCTGTCTTCACTAATGAAAGTATCATTTCTGCCTTATATGCCATGTTTTAAAAGGCCTCCAGCAGCATGGCAATGATATGTAACTTTTTAAAACTAGCACTTAATCTAATTTGTCCTTGTTTTGGTGTGTGTTCTGAGAGCTCTCTGGGTTGATTGCTCTGTGGGTACTTTATTCTTTTCCTGGCTGGCTGCTTCTAAGAATGAATCCCTTTTTCTCTTGTAGTTTAAACAGTTACTGGGATCTATCTAGGTTTCGTTGTGTTTTGTCTGGGAGGTCGTGAGTTCTTAAGTCTGAGCTGAAGGTGCTTTATTCTAACAGTCAAGGATGGGCGCGTGGAGGTGGGATCGGGTGGGCTCCAGCAGCATGGATTCCTATTCCGTCGGCTTCTTTGTAACTGCTCCAGGCGCCCCTCTATAAAGGGGGGGGCTCTTACAGTCCCGACCCTCCCCCAGCCAGATGGATTGACACAATGACTCTAACAATGGGTTCAGGCAATCAGGGATGGTGAAGGGCGGTGCAAGATAGGTCGGGGTTCAGATCAGTGTTGTTTGTAGGGTTTCTATGAGTCATAGTCGACAGCATCTAACAACAACGTGGTTGAAAGTTGTGGAACAGGCTGTCCTTGACTCAGTGACACCTAACAACAACGTGAGTGTTAGTTGACGGCACCTGACAATGACAGTTGTTAGCCTCACAGGTGAGATTACAGATGCAGAGGATATATAAACCTGGTTTATTTTAAGCACTGATGTTACATTGACTATTTGTTACCATTATTGTTGGCTTTTTCCCTCACTAACCTGCTTTCCCACCCTTATCAATCCTGCTCTTTGTTGCTTCCCATGTGACTTAAAATTTACTGCTACATTTTCTGTTTCATGTCAGTCTTATTTCCCCCCTATCATTTGTTTTATTTTAACCTTTTTCTCTCTCCTCCTTTCAGTTCTTTCCCGGAAGTTGTTTCCTTTCACTCTGTTGAGGTTCCAAATTATTTCCTGAACATTTCAGAGGCAGACTTGTAGGGGCTGCTTCTCCATCCTGGTGGGCACTGGTATCCCCTTCCTCCAGGAGCCCTAACACGCTCTGCTTTGTGCTGGTGTCTCTGCAAGCAGTGTGTATGTGTGCCCATCTGTGTCTGGGGTCAGGCCCCTGTTCAGTCTTTTTGCCAGAAAACAACTTATTGTGTTTATTTTCTGGCAGACTATATCATCAATATCACATGCAACTAAAAGCTTGCTGAAGATTATTGAAAAATGGCCAGGGCCAAAAAATAGCCAGAAATTCATACCAAAGGGATCTTGGATGAAAGTGGAGGATACTAGGAAGATGTTTACTTGTGTTTTATTGATTATACAAAGGTATCTGACTATATGGATCATAATAAATTATGGATAACATTGAGAAGAATAGGAATCCCAAAACATTTGATTGTGCTCATGCAAACCAATAGGTAGACCAAGAAGCAGCATTCCAGGCAGAACAAGGAGATTCTGCATGGTTTAAAATCTGGAAAAGTATGTGTGAGGGACATACCTTCAAAGACCTTAACATTCATCTGTACACAGAGCAAATCTGAAAGCTAGACTCTATTGAAGAAGGATGTGGCATCAGCATTGGAGGAAGTCTATCAACAACCTGTGTTATACAGATGACACAACCTAGCTTGCAGAAAATGAAGAAGATGTTTGAAGCACTTAAAACGAATATCAAAGGCTATGGCCTTCAATATGGATTACATTCCAACATCAAGAAAACTAAAATCCTCACTATTGGACCAACAGGGCAATGTCATGATGGATGGGGAAAAGACTGATGCCGTCAACGTTTTCATTTTACCTGGCTCCGCAATGAATGCCTACGTAGCATCAGTTAAGAAATCAAGAAAGATCTATTGCATTGGAAATATCTATCAAAGGCAGTCCAGAATGCTAAAGAGCAAGGATATCAGTTTAAGTACTAAGGTGCACCTAATCCAAGTCTTTTCATTTGCTTTCCGTGGATCTGAAGGTTGGACAGTGAATAAGGATGACAGAAGAACTGATGCCTTTGAGCTGTGGTGTGCTGAATATCTCATGGGCTGTCAAAAGAACAGATATGTTCTTGGAAGAACTGTAGCCAGGGAGCTCCTTAGAGGCCAAGGTTGTTACGTTTGGTCTCACGTGGACGTGTTGTCGAGAAGGGCCAGTCGTTGGAAACAGATGTCATGCTGGGAAGATGGAGGGTCAGAGAAAGAGAGGACCTTCAACAAGAGGGATTAACACGGTGGACTTGAGCACAGCAGAGATCGTGAAGACGGAAAAGGATAGGGCAAAGGTCAGGCTCATCGGGTGCCCAGGAGTTGTGGTCAATTTGATAACAACACAAAACAATAGCATTTGTGCGAGTAGATGACCAGGTCTTTTGACTGCAGAGCTAGTGGGTCAGTTGACATGGTCTGCTGAAGACTGGCCCCCAAGGCTTGATTGGCCTCACAGGGTGCAGCAGGGGCCCCTGGGTCCTTTCTCCTTGCCTGCCTGACCCTTTTACAGGAAGCCGAGCAAGATGCTCATGTGACCACTAGATGGGGCTCAGGTCACAGACAACCCAGCGTGCCTGGGGAAGGTGTCCTGGGCTGATCTCACAGATGGTTCAGGAGAAGGAGAATCGCCTGTAATCAGTCTCCCAGTTCAAACAGGCAGTTAAGAAGCTCAGTCTGTGGAACGACACGAGTTTACTTTCTTGTTCAAGCTGGAGGCATTTTTAACGGCCTCTCAGGCTCCCTGCTTCCCCTGGCTGAGGTGTGGGTCAGAGGGCCTCTTCCAGGCCCTGACATCCATGTTCATCTAGCTCCCGCCACGCTTCCCCCTTGTTCCAAAAGCCCCTCGGAACACAATGCTTGAGCTTCCCTTCCAGATGCTGTATTTTTTTCCCTCCTCCACAGTGCGTGTTTCTAACACATCTGGGTGATACACAATGCTTTATGTCCTCATGGCTGTCAAAATCCAGACTAAACCACGCTGCCAAAAATGTTGGCTTCTCCTCCTTTTACATCTTCCCCTCTCCGTGGCCCTCCAGATGACGTGGCTCAACCAGGAGTGTGTGTTTGTGTCCAGGTCTTTCCCTCGAAGACAGGAGTGTAGGCTTAGCTGCCCACAAGGTTGCCCCAGCCACGTGTGAGGGTTCTCGGATCCTGTGCTCTAGAAGATTAGTAGAAAGTATAATTGTTGAAAAGGGGACACTTTCCTTTTTAGCTGTAGTCTCTTTGAAAAGGAAGATGTGTGAAAACCACAGAGATTATTTTTGAAAGGAACTTTATACATATGGAAATCATGCTATTTAAGTAGCATGTGTATCCTAAAAAAAAAAAAAACACAGCCGAACAGACAATTCAGTGAGCTTCTTTTCATCTTTTGAACAAGTTGTCACCTTCCCTTTCTGCCGGTTCTGCCTAGTTCTGGACACCGGGCAGCTGGCATAGGCGTGAGCGGGGTCAGGGCCGGCAGCAGGTGACGGAGACACAGGTGTCACCAGGCCTGTCTGCAGGTGAGGTGTGTGGCTCGCTGGGCTGGGGGCTTCCCTGTCTCTCCTCAGCTCCTTCCCCTCCCCTTCCCCCCAGAAAGTTACACTGTACTCATCAAGCTCGAGGGCCGTGATGCTCATCTGGGTTTGGGGGTGTCTTTCCAAGCCCTGGTCCCCTGGGCCCAGGCGCACACACAACCACACCATCTGTCCTTTGGCTGAAGAGGAGGGTGTGGAGGCTTCATCTGGAGTGACGTCGCCAGCCACTGTGCCCTTGTCTCTAGAGTAATCCTCAGACATCGGGGTGAGGAACTGGGTGACCCCCAGCACCCGGAGACTGATCAGCCTGAAATGAGGGCCCACAGGCCGGAAATGCTCGGAGCACCTGGCCACGTCTTACCCGGCAGTTCCCTGGCCTCATTAGGCTTCCTGAGTGAACAAATGAATGGTGAACGGATCAAGAAACGACAAATAAATGACAGCATGCCAGATCTGGAGTCGGGAATGAGACCACTGCTCGGTCCTCCTCGGAGGCATGTGCTGGTCAGATGGCTGGTGGGATTAAGGGATATCTGTGCTGGCGAGGGCACCGTCCACACCGGGATCTGGGTCAGTCTGTGGGTGGGAAGCGGACTTTGACTCGGCTCGGAGCACTTGAGGTCAGACTGGTGACCTTGGCCTCATTAGCCCAAGTTAACTGGTTGGGCCTGTTTGTCATCATTTGGAAGTCGCTGAACACGGAATCCGTTTCCTTCCTGTGGGCCTGACGGCCGCACGGCCTCGAAGCGGCTGTGCCTGCCACACTGAGCCTCTCGTGACCGCCAAACGCACCCCAGAACCAGGGATCTGGCTCCCCCACTGATGCAAACCTCTTCCTGTGGATATGAAAGTGGTCTGCACAGGGCTTCTGTGGCCCTGACTTCTGCCAGTCGGCATTCCTGGCTGAGGCTGGCTGCCGAGAGCTGAGGGCTGCCCCCCCCCCCCCGACCGTGGGCCTCACCTGAAGCGGGGTCCCATGTTCTTGTCACCTTGTGTTAGGCCTGTCCTCACATCTACATCACCCCATAGGCGCCTCTCCTCTCCCTCTCGCATCTCGTTCTTTCCCCCCCAATGTTTTGCTCATCTTCCAAGTCCCACCCTGAGTCAGGAGCTGCGAGAAGTAGCAGTGGCTGTGTTCTGGGAGGAGACCCGCAGTGTTCCCGGTAAAGGCGGACGCTGAACGAAACAGGAACTTCACCAACTGGTGGCAGTTGGAGTCCACTGGCTGTTCCACCAGAGAATGGTCCCCGGCGGTTGAACGCCTCTGGTAGCCAGCTGGAGGGGCAGCTAGGAGTCAGATCTTCCCAGGGTGGACCATGACCCTGGACAAGTTACACACGGCTGGTTGGAGAAGGAGGAAGAGACGCTCAGAGGCAGGAGGTGATGGGGACTGGAGAAGGGAAGGGCACAGGACCAGGGCTCCTGTTCCCTGGGGCATCTTGTCCCTGTCTGGTGGTGAGAGGAGGTCAGCCAAGCGTCATCTCCCTTGCTTGTTTCTAGCCTTCCTCACCAGCATTCGGGTGTGCACCCATGTGGGTAGGGTCTCCAGTGTGAATGGACATGCTCTGACTCTACCCATTCAAGGCAGGTGCCCACAGCCCAGTTGGTGTGGGGAGGCAGCATGGACCTCCAGGAGCTGTTCCGAGATGGCCACTAGGTGGCGATGCCGTTCCTTGTGGTGGCATCTGGGGTGCCTGGGTGTGTGCAGGCTGTCCTGTGAGGGCAGTGGCTGCCCTGTCCACCTCTGGCCTGCCTGTGGCCCACACTTTGTGTCTGTACTTTGCTTCCCTCACTAATCTGACTCTACTAAGCCCATTTTACATTGTCTTTTCCTGAGGATGTCCCGTGGACATGGGTGGGAGAGACCAGGGTGTGAAGTAGGACCCCCAAGCATATGGTGACTTGGCAAATCTTGTGAAAGGCTCGCAGCCGGGGTGCGGGCAGGACCTCGGGCTTCTTCTGTTTGCACACAGGATCTGGGTTTCTGACTGTCTGTCTGTCTGCCATCTCTCATCCATGTGCCCTCTCTGCCTGTGCCCATCCTAACCCCCTCTCCATTTCTTTACGCTTCAGAGGACCCCCTGGGTGTGGTCAAGCCTCGTCAAGCCTTCGACCGTACGTTGCCTTCTCTCGGTGCCTGGGGGTTGTGGTGTGGGTGTTTCCTGACCTGGGCCAGGATGCCCCATGTGGCCCCCAGCTTTACCTTTGGCTGCTGGGTGTGTGACTCGCTTAGGGTGCACGAAGGGTGGTTCCCGTCTGTGCTGTGGGGGAAGGGTGGGAGGTGGGCCACAGGCTGTGGGGACAGGTGGGCAGTGACAGGAGAGGCCAGGAGAATGGAGGGTGTTGGTGTTGGGATCCAGAGGGTAAATCCTGTCGAAGATGATGAGTATCCGTTAGCAGTGCTTGTGCCGATTCCCTCAGCTTCCGGCCCCTCGCCCTGTCCTGGGTGCCAGGGCCCTGTTGTGCTATGGGCAGGAAGAGGGATATAATAAAGGATAGATGGGGTCTGGGATGAGGTGGGTCAGAGCCTGGCCCTCGCCACCCCATCTCACAGGGATCGGTCTGGATATTCATAGCACACCTCCTTCCGGGGCCTTTCTCATGTGCCCACCTTGCCACGTCCTTGTGGGGTTGGGTCTTTCTAGGCAGTTTCTATCCTGCCTTCACTTCCCTGCCTTTGGCATTCTGGAACAATCTTCCTCTTCCCTGTGGTAGATTGGAAACCCTAGCTTTCTGGGGTTGCTGAGTCCTGGGAAGCTCAGCCCAGCTGGCAGACAGTGACGTTATCTGCAGGGAGTCTCTGCAAAGGATGAAAACGACGTGGAGAAAAGACTTCTCCTCGTCAGCATTGCAATGCTCATGTCAGCGCTCCATCAGCCTGCCCCGCTGAAGAGCTGTTCTGTGCCCGGTGTCCGGGGGCGGGTGAACGTGGGGACACAAGGCTGTCTGTCAGTCCTGACCACATGAGAACAAGGGGCAGGAATTTGACACTGAGGCCCCCTCCCTGGGCTGGCCCCTTGCAATGGAAGGCCTGAGACACTGGCAGAGGGGAAGATCTGGGGGATGGACCTAGAATAGGTATGGTCTGAGCATGGGGACAGTTTAGTGTGGGCCTTTGAAGCTACCCTGTTTTGCGACCTGCTACTCTAAAGCTGTGTGCTGCTTTGCATCTCTGAGCCTCAGTTTCCTCATCTGTAAAATGGGACTATTATAAAGCATTTGTGCCTCAGCGTAGTGGAGAGGCTTATGGGAACATATGGAAGAGAATGGCATCATGGCTCATACGTTCGCTGCATCTGTGTATGGGCGTGAGCAGGGAACTGGGGGTAGGGGGTTGCTGAGGCCCAAGCTGGCAGGTCTGCGGGGCTCTCCTGACCTGTCTGTCTTCCCCAGTCGATGACCATCTGGGCTTCCTCCCCACATTCGGGCCCTGCTACGTCAACCTGTATGGTAGTCCCCGTGAGTTCACCGGCTTCCCAGACCCTTACGTGGAGCTCAACATGGCGAAGGTGAGTCATGGGACCCAGTCCCGGAGCCTGCGTGGGGTCTTCTGCCTCTGCCATGCAGCGTGGGTCCAGCCTGGATTCCCAGGGCCTGATGGTCTCCGAGCACAGCCAGGGCCAGCCGCTCAGCATCCCTCCAGACATAGGGACCCAAACTCTACCTGTCCAGCTGTGTGAGGCCAGGAATTGAGCCTCTAGGGGGGCTCAGTGACATCCCCTGAAGTCTCTGGGCCATGATCCCCCATTTACAGAGTGATGGGGTCACTTCATGTGTCTGGGAAGTGAATGACCTCAGGTTTCATCCTGTCCCCTTTCTCTGCCCCTGGCGCCCTGACCTCTCCTCACAGGGGGAAGGCGTGGCCTACCGAGGCCGCATCCTCCTGGCCCTGGAGACCAAGCTGGTGGAGCACAGTGAGCAGAAGGTGGAGGACCTCCCTGCAGACGACATTCTGCGAGTGGAGGTGAGGACACCTCATGGGAGAGCCTGGCCTTCGGGTGTCCTCCCGGGAGGACTCAGCCCAGCCTGCACTCTGTGTGGGCCTCGCTGAACCTGTCTCCGCCGGGAAGCATGAACCCACCCAACACCTCCGCCTCCCTGGAGCAGAAATGAAAGCAGGTGGAGTTATACTGCTAATCCACAGGGCGTGCCTGTCTCTGCGGGTTCAAATCCACCAGCTGCTCTGAGGGAGAAAGACAGGCACTCATCTCCTCTATGTGAAAGCCTCTGAACCCCCAAGAGGGTCACCTAGGAGTGGGTTCCACCTTGATGGCAATGAGTTTGAGTTTTTGTTTGAGAGATTGATGCAAATTTAAGATGCAACTGTGCAGTAGTCAAGGGAGCTCTGGTGGCCTAGTCCATAGTGGATCGCACTGCTAACCCGCACGCGGTGACTCTCTGGGGGTTCAAATCTATCAGCTGATCCTTGGAAGAAAGAGGGTTAATCTCCTTTCATGTCACTTACAGCCTCTGAAACTCGCTGGAGGTCAGCTAAGAACCAGTCCTGATTCGACAGCAATGAGTTTTTAGAGTATCTACTAATAATGCTCTTTTCTGTGAAATGCTTGTCTGTCAGATATATTATATATATTTAAAGATTGAGGCAGACTAGGAAGAAGGATTGGTCACCCACTTCCAAAAAAACAGGCCTTCAAAAACCCCATGTCAATAGAGCACACTTAGACTATCGCTTGAACTAGCAGACATGGCAATTGAGACTGAGATCTTAGAAATGGAAATACGGAGAAGAAGGAACAGCTGTAACCAGACACTAGTGATTGGAACGTGGAACGTGAGAAGCATGAATGTAGGAAAATTAGACATTGTTAAGAAAGAAATGGAACGCATAAATATTGACAT